ATGGTCTGGAATATCCCTTTGGTCAGTTGGGGTCACCTGTTTTGGCTGTGTCCTCCTTGTACATCCCAAGCCCCCAGGTACTCCCAGATCCCTCACCAGTCTGGCAATACAGAAAGCAGAAAAGGCCTTAGCTCTTTGTAAGCCCGGCTCAACAATAACAAAAATGTCTATGTATTATCAACCTGTGTTCCCCAAATCCAAAACACAGCACCATCCCAGCCACTGTGAAGAAAAAAAGTCTAAAAAGAGCTACCCTTTCAGGAAATACCACAACTTGTGCAATCAAGGGATGTCAAGTCAAAGTCACATTATGAAACTTTGTTTCAATAAAAAGAATACAAATRCCCATAGCTTTAGTTACCAGAAGAAATTGGCCTCTGCATCCAAACTCAGAGTCTCGTGTTAGTTGTAATGACAAAAGCAGGGATGGAGTAATTAAACTTAGTTATTATGAATAGCATGTGTTCATTATGCATATAACACAAACAGCCCTATGGAAAGAGAGACACACAAATCTGAGACTGTTCTGCTGCATAGTAATTTTCAAATTTTGGTCTATAACCTATCTTTAAGATCCTTYAGACTGCATGGAAATTGTGTTCATGTCTCTCAAAGAGAAAAGTCAATAGTGTTTTCACTAAAATATGCAACAGCAATGGCAAGTAATTTTGATAGTAGATATTGGCCCATTGGTCAATGACCCACTTTGCCAGTGTATGGAARTTTTAGCCTTTCACATCCCTGACATTCTGTTTCTAAAATTTGGAGAGAATTAAAATAGATACAAGATAATAACTGCATTTCTATGAATTTATTCAATTCTCTGGACAGATCATTTATGAACTCTGGAAGATAATAGGTGATTATGACATATTGCAGTTACATAAAATAGGTACGATGTCTCCTGAAAAATAAAAAAAAGTCTTTTCCCTGAGAGAAGCCTTAATAGAAATGGTGTCATGAGTGAAAATTTCACCCTGAGACAATATGAATTTTGGCAAAGGCATACCCAGGAAAATAGAATAGAGTCTGAAGGCTGGATTTGACTACAGGACACACTGTAAACCTCCTTAGAATTCACTGTGGCTTGAAACTGTTAGGTGAAAGAAATCCAGTAACCAAAATATAAAGCCAAGCTCACTTTGTGCTTCCCTGTCTCCTTTCTCTGTATATTTCCAACTATTCCAGTGAACTCAGTGCTGCACTTTTGCATTATTTAAAAGTGCAAAAGAGCAATATCAACATAAAAAAATCCGATTCAATCTTGCACTATCAAGCACTCCAGTACAAGGGTCATGAGCCCCAAAGCAGCTGCTGAGGACTGCTTATCCAAACACCAAATGCTATTTGAAGAGCTGAGATGTTGTGTAACCTTTAACTGTAAGACATTATATACAGGGCGAAGTACTTTGGGGTCCCAACCAGGTTATCCCTTGCTGTGTGTAATATAGAGGTTAATGAAAATACCAAATGGAAGTACAGCACAAGACTTCTTTACTCAGGTCTCACAAACACAGATAACTAAACAATTGCTTAAAGAATTATTTTGAAATCTTTTACAGCTTCCACATTCAAATTATAGACTTTAAAAATATTCTTTTCATTATTGTTTTTTCAGTAATATTTTCATTCACTTTGGTTAGTTCTTTCTAGTTGTGCAGGGCCTTTGGCAGAAGTTTTGGCAGGTTTCTAGCACTAGAAAGGAAATTAAAAACTGTTAAAAAAAAACATATAGAAAAACAGTAGTATTATTGTATAAAATTGTAGCACTAAATAATATTGTCATTATAAACAGGAAATACATGACTTTTCAATTTACTTGCCTGCTATGCTTTTGCAGAAAATGAAAATATTTTTAGCTATGCCAGCAAAACTTGAAAAAAACCTTTCTGTTTATCCTATCTCCAATTCCATTTAGAAGTGTTGTATTCTGAGCAAGGCTCTCCAAATAAATATGATGGTGCTTGGAAACCATTAGGGTTAATAAGGACCATTTATTAGGAGCATCTTCATTCCTGTGGGAGAAACTTGGCTCATGCTGGCATACTAAGGTAAAAGGTAGCAGCATTCAGCTTGTTATCAGCTCTCCTACTTCTAGTTCTTCACCTGTTGAAGAACTGAGATACTTAAAAAAAAAAAAAGTGTTTGATAGAAGTTAAAACTTGGCATTAAACTTCTCACAGTTCTCCCATAGCTGACCTTAACTTGCCTTTCTCTGTATTGCTTCATGTCTGCAGTAGTGAAAAATTAAGGGATACTCTTCCTTTTCTGTTAACTCAGCCAGTCTTGTTAGTTCTTTTTCAAAATTTTCACTACTAACTTACATACATTAAAGAACAGGCTGCATTGAATTAATTCGTTCCTCTTTTATATTTGCTTCTTGAAAGTCTATGATCTCAGTTCCTTTTAGTAATTCAGTATTCTTCTCCTCAGAAGTAGTCTCACTATGAGGGAAAGTTTCACTAAACCAGCAATTCCATATTCTACASTTTAGAATTCCATTCCCTCACTTTTTCAAACTTTTCAAAAACTAAAAAACAAGAGCTGTTTGAGTGCTGAAAACACCTTGATATTGAATTTACCATGAATAGAAAGCCTCCCTAGAGACCCAGACATAATGAAAAATATATTAACATTATCTAAAGGTTCTCAGACATATTAACAATATCAAATTGCGATCTGCCAGTCAGCAAACAYTCAAAAATCTATTATTGGCTCTCTTGCTAATGATATTATTTTAACTTATCAGCCATTTATCAAAAACCATTACTAAAGCTGCAAGTAAGCAGAATTTTTTTGACTGATTCACATCCCCCGAACATTCAGCACTTACTTGCAGTTGCCTGCTTATTTCATCCAAAAAYTTCTAATTTAGATTTACAAGGATAATGCTGAATCTAAGACAGGATAATATTTCAGAATGGACAATTACCAACTTGGGTAAATGATGACAAATCCTAGACAGATGAAGATAYCAAAGATAAATCCCCTTGAAAGTAGGAAGAGGCCATGAGAATATAAACAAAATAGCACCACCCAGAGGCGGAAGAAAAACCCTTGAATTTACAAGGATATTTCCAAAACATTAATCTGGAAAAATTCCAACATGAGAATCTTCAGATATGTTCAACATCAATATCTGCTTTGAGATGTCAAAGTGAAAGAAACAGAAATCTTTAACAGAAACAATCTTTATCACAAACAATACTAACTTTTCTAATACAGAAATTATAAGAGAAGGGAATAGAGAGAAAATATTTAATACATACATATTTTTAGAATACYATGAACTCAATATGTATAATATTTTATGCACAAGGATACTACTAGGTAAGARAAGAAAATTAAATAGAAAATAGAGCAGGGCCATGCAAGAATGACATGCAAAACAGAACAAAGATGAAATCCCCTCGATTTATATAAAAGGTTTAGACAGCAAGGAATATACAGTACTCTTGTCCAAAAAAAGATCTTAGAAAAATGTCTCCTCCCTTAGTCACAAMTCACCATACCACTATATCTTACCCTTTAAGTATCTCTGATTTTCTTAAGAATAAAATTGTTCAAAGGTGCCTGAAAGCAAAAAAAAAAAAAAATGAGAAGCTGAATGGAAAACTGGCCTGAAGAATGAGGCCTGAGCATCAAAGTACAATACATACACGTGTAACTATACACAAAAACAGACAACATTTGGGTTTTTTAGCAGGTCACACTTAGAACGTAAGTWCTTAATATCAAAAAAATAGCAAGAGCATTCCTTTCCCCCTCATCTTTCAAAGGAAAAAAGTTTGACCATTTTAACAATGCATTTATACTTACATAAAACTTTTTGTGTCATCTCATGAAGAAATSCTATTTCCATTTAAATTGCAGTACCTACTAAAAGTCCTGAAGATAACTGAGCGGTATGTGTTTTTTCTCTGCATCAAAAAATATATCATTCCTAGAGAACTAGATTTTTATTACTGCATTTCAGAGTAATATTTAACATTAAAAGTTATCAAATTACCTGTAATWAGGTAATACAGTTAAAGGTTAAAATCTATTTTTATAAAGGCAATACACATTAMTTTAAAAACACCTTTTAAGAATCTTTGGGGCTTGACTTAATTTCTAGGGTTTATTATTTTTCTTTGATTTCATTGTTTTCTTTCTTMTTTGGAAAGCTTTGTATTTAATCCCAGTTTTTTGAGATCATTTCACAAGAATATTRTCATTCTCACCATCCTCTTGTCCAGTCAAAGCAGGTGCTTTTTCTACTGGCACATCTGCTGGCATTGTCTGAGGATGACCACAGTAGATGTTTGGTAGGGATCGGCCTCAACCTCTGGCTCAGCTATCCATTTCTTCCTATCCTTCAATTTTTTCATGCTGGTTTTGAAATAAGCTGACATATTTGATGTGGCTTCATCTTTGAAAACATTCATCTCCAGAGCTGAGACTGATCTTTTAATCAAACTTGTCTGTTAAAAAAAGGAAACTTAATTTATTTAGAYGTTCATTTGAAATAAGATTTATGTATCACATCCCCTTAGTTTTAATGGACTGGATTTTATTTTATACAAAGTTGTAAAGGAAAAAAAAAAAGTGACAGGGGCTCTTTGATGTTGAAAAAAAATTATTATTTAATGGGAAAAGAGATCTGCATATTTCAGGCTATATGTCAAAAGAAAGGGATCTAAAAAATTAATTCAAAGTTATTTGAAGCTGATAAAGGGCTAAAATCAATCTTCCCTAAAAATGTAACAAAAAATTTCAATTAAATAACCCCAGTCATTGTGGGAAAGTTGTGTTTTAAAATGAAAAATTTATGTCACTGGTGGTGACATTTACAAGAAAACAAGCWAAGGAATATTCAGAAACCAGAAGAAAAGACAGGAGGACTCTGTATAATGCTTTAAAGTRCACAAGTATTATATGAAAACATAGTTGATATATGAAGGAATTATGTACCTCTGTACTTTGTGCCCCCATCCCAGAATTGCCTGATGAAATCAAAACTGAAAGAATAACTGTTATCCTCTGGGATTTAATTGTTAATAATTATTAAGCAAGTCTTATTTCCAATAACAAATTTATTGCTTCTCCTTCTTCCTGTGATTTCTGGTTCACTGACTTCCTCTTTAATACTAGGCATAACATAGCTTTGTTAAAGAAATGAAAATGCAATTTCATGTCCATTGCCTGAAATTTTAAGGGGGAAACATTTGTTACTAATCATTRAAATTAATTTAAAATAATTGAAGGATTGAGTAATTTTTAATTAGGCTCTGGCAGAGCATGGAAACGGAAAGGTCCTTGATTTAGAGTAAGTACTACTTATTAACAACTAAAACATCAGAGTTATCAGAACAAGAAAAAAGTTTCATATATTCAGATGTGCATACGTGTATGCAAATCAAAATGCATGTTAAATGGAGMACTTGACTTCTCTCAACACATTGGAATATGCCAACACTGACATCTACTGGYGTTAGTCAGGTTTGGGGTAGTTTTTCTGCAAACAATTAGTAATGAAGTTTCTTTGTGCATTCATGGAACTGAAATCTGTTACTTGCAATTTCATTGCCAGAGGTATATCTCAGAGAATAGATATATTCTCATTTCTGCTAATTACAATATAGTTTCATTTAAAGACCTAATTAAATGATCAGAGTACTGAGTAACAGGCAGAAGGGGAGAAGGTGTCTCAGCATAACTGAGAACCAGCCATTTGATTTAACAAACAAAATGCCTTCTGAAGTACCCTTTTTGCATTAAAAACAAATTCTTAAAATTTAGTATTAACCCATAAGTTGTAGTTCTTATGCAGAAAAAGAAATTGCAGGTCTGGGACTAGTTTGTTAACTCTTTCTAATTTTCTTGTTTTCAAATTGAAGTTTTAACTATTTCTTAAGGAAAAGAGAAACAAGAACTGAAATCCTAACTTCTGGCAGGCATTTGGCTTTCCTAGTTTTTCTTTATRTGTAAGCATTTGGTGGTTTATTGGGTTTTAGTGGCGAGCTTTTGGTAGCAGAGCAGCTACACTGGGACTTCTGTGAGAAGGGGCCAGAAAATTTCTCCRTGTCCAACAGAGCCAGTCCCAGCCTGCTCCAGATGGACCCACCACTGGCCRATGGAAACCCTGTCAGCAATGGTAGGATAACCTCTGGGATAACATATTCAAGAAGATGAAGGAAAAAAACTTAGCAGGAGCAGCTGAAGTCAGAGAAGACAGGAGTGAGAATAAGTGRTGAAAAGAGCTGGAAAAACTGCACACCAAGGTCAGTGAAAGAGAGGGAGGAGGTGCTCCAGGTGTCAGAGCTGAGCTTCCCCTGCAGACCGTGGTGCAGATTTATGGTGAGGCAGAATCAAAGAGCAGCAGTGACCTACCTGGAGSAGGAGCTCAAAGTGGAGCAGCTGGATTCCCAAAGGAAGCTGTGATCCTGCAGAAAGCCCCCACTGTACCAGGCTCCTGGCAGGAACTGTGGTGCTGTGCAGAGAGGAGCCCACGCTGGAGCAGGTTTGCTGGGAGGACTTGTGACCCAATGGGGGACCCAGGCTGGAGCAGTACAAGTAATAAATTAAACTTCTTTTTCCCCAACTCAGTTCACTTTACTCATGATGGTAATTGGTGGGTGATGTCTTCCTGGTTTTGCCTCAGCCTGTGAGCCTTCCATTGCATTTTCTCTCCCCTGCCCAGCTGAGGAAAGTGATCAAGGARCTTTTGTGGGCACCAGGTATTCAGCCAGGGTCAGCCCACCACAGGCTGTTCTGACTCTTCAAGGTGCATGGCTGCACAAAAGGATTGTCAAATAAAGCTATACAAAATACAAAAAGGTATAAAACAATCAAAATTTTCCTTATTATTTGGTGGTTAAAAGTSTTTTTCAAGACAACCATGCAAAAAGAGCTGTCCTTTTATGAGACTTTTTTTCACAAATAGTTTTCAATCCTAGGAGTTTATATTAAATAATCAACTGTGAGTTAATGAAAAACAACAATCAGACTTTTCATTTCTGKAAGAGGGAAGCAACATAGAAGAAATTTCCAAGCAATAATAATGCTGATCTGATAATATTGTTTCCATCTGCTGGTAAAAAAGTGTAAAATCAGAATGTCTCAGGGAAATGCACGCATTCCTCTATGAACAAATCTTAACAAACATAATATAAAGCTACCAATCCTATTAAAATTTTTGTAGGATATCTGTGAGGAACAGGTTTGACAACCCATATATAGCCTCATTAAAAATGTATTTAGCTTATACTGGTTTTCATGGCTAAAAAATAGATTCTTAGCTTTCAGATAATTGATGCCTGCAGAGGATACCAAGACTAAACGGGGGCACAAAAACAAGGCACCTTTGCTATCTGATGAATTAAACTTGGTACAGTCAGTCTCAAGAGACAGTTGTTGCTGACCTTGGGAATCTTGATAAATTGATTCATCCTGCTCTGCAAAGTGCTTTTTTTCAGGTGTGAATAAAAAGTTTTATGTATTTTTAAGCCTTTGGATATTTTTCATAGGAAAGACAAGATTTTAAAGCAAGAAAATTATTGCTTTCTTGATCTGACTTACCATAAAAGCCTACAGCTGTGGATGTCTTTGGACTTTGTAACAGTCAAACTAGACTCTTTCACAGAAGAACTCGGAATGAGAAAAAAAAAAATATAGAACTGTGCTATTTTAACTGTTAGCAAAGTAATTTGATTTTTTACTATCTACAACACAGAAACCATGCGTACCCCCACACAGATCATTTGCATTTGTGAAATTATCTCATTGCAGGGAATTGTTCAGTTATGAATCATCGCTTYAATGGACCTAAATTAGTTTCAGGTCAATGATCCCTTTGCCCTTCAAGGCTCTCACGAGGCGACCAGTATTAAAAAAGAGAACAGATGATGGTAGCAGCTGCCACTAGATGGCAGTGCTCCAAAGAATTTAGTTCTCTAGATTGAAAGGATTAAGCGAATTCAGGAAAGAATTTCAGTGTGGGCTTGTTTTTAAACTTTAGTTCTCTTCCTTTCTGGGGAATGTAGCTCTCAAACTAAAGCTTCCTTTCCCAGAATTTCTACTAATTTATAAATCTCAGACTCACCCTCAATTTCCTCACCCTGYTGAGTACTTGAAAAATCAAACCATTCTCATCTTCAAATCCCATCCTACCATAGATTCTATAATTCATCTCCTGTAGTTCCACTCCCATCTAACTCCTTCAACTTCCTGCTTCTTGTAAGGGGTTCTGTCCTTTATTCACTTCTCTTCTTCCTCTATTCAATCTCTAGTAATATCTAGTMAAAGACCATGTATGGATTCCCTCTCCAATGGTAAACAAGCATAGAATGATTTATCACATTCTGTACCAACAAAAATATCAGATGCTCTTTCTCTTAGGGATGTGTAGCTGCCAGTTTTAGCTCAGCAAGGCTGACAGACAAGAATCTAATGAGCCTTTGCCTTTTCAACCTTCATGACCTCCTGCTACTTTCTTCATTCACTAGCCAGCACAGACTCAGAACACTGGTATCATTCACAACATTCTAAAATCAAACTCTTTTTCCAGTCTCTCTACAAAACTAATAATGGTATCTAATTTCATATCTTCCTTTCTGCAGCCTCAGTTTCTTTAGCCTAGCCAAGCATTACTGTGTTGTGCTCACAGTCATTCAAAGTGCTACCACAAAGGTCACAGTTGCTTCCTTGGAACATTGTCCCATTCTTGAAGTAATAGAAAAAATCCCAGCTATTGAAATAAACAGTACTCCTATGCTTATGAAGCCTTCACAGATTTTTTGGGGTTTTGTCATGTCTASAACAGTAAAATGATAACTTCTATGTTTTTGACTTCTAACTCCAGCACTGAGTTCCAAAGTTTGGGAGATTCCTTTCTGAGCACCCTTCTGCCCACACTTCTAGTGCCACTCACATCTAAGAAACGCTCACAAGAGCCATTGATTTATTCTCAGAAGAACTTCCTTAATTCCTCTCCCACCATGTTCTGAAAAATAGTTACTKAATGGGTTTCTGGTATGCTGAGACCCCTGCTTACAATGAGGATCAGTGAACTTATTCTCTTTCATTCCTTATAGTCTTGCAGACAGTATCAGTCCAGCAGTCAGAAAATGCTGYTGAATCAAAAGCACTCTACAGAGGCCATGAATTACATTCATATGCTACCCAAATTGCTGACAAAAGCAGAAGCTCACAAAAACCAAAGAGAAACATCAAGGACTAATCCTGTACCCTGAAACAATGCCATCCTTGATGCTTAGGATGATCTTGGCTACACCAGAAGAATTCAATTACTAAAAACTTTCATAAAGCAATTTGTGGATTCGTATTTTAAAAGCAGAGAGAAGTATCATTATTAGCAAATCTGACCTTCTAATTAATACAGATTTAAAAAAAAAAAAATCATCAGTATTCATGCTCCAAGCTCAAAATTGGCTGGGTGAAGCTGAGATTATACCTCAGAAAGGAATCTAGTCTTTATAATAATGGATCATTTCAGAATCTGCTACTTTCAATGCTGTATGTTGAACTATTATAGTTACTCTCATTTGCTTGGACTGAAAATCCAACTATTGGACCTGCTAAGATTTTGTTTAGCAAATCCTCTTGCACCAGAAAATACACCATACAGATAAAATATTCACCCCAACTCTCTCTCATTGTCATGTTAAACACATAGCCATCTCTTAAGTCCAAACACAGAACTGGAGAATTCACAGGAATTGACACATCTGCTTGCTCCCCTGGAACATTAAGATAATTAATCGAACTCTRTAAAGTGCATTAACTGCACAACATTCCTAAAAGAGTTGTGTAGAAGGAGAATCACAGATTTAGCCAACAGGAAATGCTGTCCCTCTCCAGAGCTTAGATTTTGCAGGGGCTGCAGGCTGATATTTCCTTCCATTTCAAATCTAGAACATGGAGCCCTCTTCTAATGCATCCATTCTTTCAAGAAAGGGCGAGGTGATTTTTTTTTTTCTTTTATATGACGAAAAAGGGCAAAGATGAGATTTGTACCTCTTTATGATAATATATTATTGAAGCACAGGATAAGAGAATTCATTGCTTATCTGAGAATTCAAGACTCACCATTAGATTATTTGACCATTCTGGGTGCAGGAAGTTGTGTTGTTGAGCAGAAAAGAATGCAAAARTCATGCAGCCAACAGAGAGAACAAGTGCTGACATGACTATCTCAGTTATTAGAGCACTTACCRGGAGCAGAAAAACTCTATAATATTTCTAATCCCAAAAATTCTTTTCTATATTATTGATAATGTCTCACCTCCTTTATTTTAAGGTAAACACGTTTAATTTAAAGTTCAGAGAGTATTGCAGAGACATCTTCTTTTGCTTATCTTTCAAGACTGTAAAGCTTCTTTCASAATTACTGCTTTTCAGGATACAATCTCCCTTCCTACAAAGTATGGCCCTAATTCCCTATTCTTATCCTTATGACCTTGCATTTGGCTGCACTAAAACACATGTTTTTCAAGAGAACTCAAGTTAACAAGCTACACAAATTGCCCTGTAAAACTGACCAAGCCTTATCCTTATTTACCACTCTGCTATTCTTTAGTCACTACAGACTTTATAAGCAATAATTTGGTATTTCTGAAGCTGAAAGTAGCAAACTGCCAGTCTCCAAAACCATTAGGAAAAAAATGTGAGTATTAAGGCTCCAATTCTTATTTTTTTGATATTACTATACAAACAAAAAAAAGACACAAAAGAGAAAAAAAAAGTAATAAGCAAAGAAAAAAGACTGTGCTTCTTATTAATTCATATGCACATTATTGAATGCAAAACACATTAAAAAATTCAAACCAAATATTTAGGAATGCACTACCATCAAATACAAAAATTGATAATGTAATAACATGGTTAAATGTGGTAGGCTTATTCCAAAATTCATTTACATTTCATCACTACCTTTTGTAGAATGAATTTTTAGACAGACCTTCTTACATGCTACATCAGCCTCAGAAAAATCAACTATTATGCATTTTGTTCTACTACAGCTCCTCATTAGTTAAACATCCTGCAGTTATCACATGACTACCTATATTAATCATGCAATTAATACTTTTGGCTACAAGTTYATCTAAGTCCCAGTATTGTGTGTGCTTCATTTTGTGCATGTGTGAGCTCAACAGAACTACACTCAATTAGTTAAAGYTATGCTTGTTCCTAAGTGTTTGTAGAGTCAGGACTGAGGTAAGACTCTGTGATAAAGGGCTGCTGCATGTGTACTTTAAACCTTTTACTATTGCAGGATTTCACATTCACAGAAAGCCTACTGTATTTGTTTAGTATTTCTTCTCATTTCAATGGGACCTCGCGTGTGAGTAGAATATATTCATAACGTAAATTGTGGCATATAACTTAAAATATGTCTATAAAGTGCAATTTATTTTTAAAAACTAACAGTACGTTTTACATTCTAAGCAAGATGCAAGCCATTTAGTACCCTTCTAATTATTTTAAAACACATCTACCAAATAAGGGAAATTTTTYAAATTTTTTTCTTTGCCACTTTAAAGTTACAAAACCCTAAAACACCATGAAAGTTATTTTTCAACATGTAATCCTGTACATTGCAAAAGTAATTCAATCWTAGCAACTCTGAAAATAAGTAAGTTCATACCTTTTTCTTTCAACTTGCTCCTTCTTTCTCCTTATTGTCCATGTCC